TACGCTCACCTTAGATCCAAGGTAGGTGCACAGTCCTGTCGTACATACCACTTTAGGTGGTTCCGACTCGTAGGTGACCCGCGATTATTCGCACAGTCTTCACGTGATCGTAGCACTTGAGCGTATTTATTTACACCCAGTCCTGTCGTACAGACCACTTTAGGTGGTTCCGACTCGTGTGCAGGTATACTTATTGAGCTATTGGCTAGCCATGATTGATGAGATGTGGATAAGTCGTACAGGTCACTATAGGTGACTCCGACTTATATGCTAGCCATGATTGATGAGATGTGGATAAGTCGCACAGGTCACTATAGGTGACTCCGACTTATATGCTAGCCATGATTGATGAGATATGGATAAGTTGTACATGTCATTTTAGATGACTCTGACTGATATATCACTTTGTATTGATTAAGTTCATTTGGCCTACTTATTAATGTATGGTGGAGTTGATGGCAAACCGTGGTTTTGGTCATTTTTGAGTATGGTTTGGATATATGTATATATGTTGTACTGTCCTAAAGAAAACGATAAGGGAATTACAACGAGGGGTTATTACTGTTAAAAAGGTAATAGTTTTGGGAAGCTTGGTTTTACTGCTTACTCACACTTTCTGTTTTGTACCCCTTCAGGTTTTAACTGCCGAGTTCGTATCGACGAGGATATATAGCTAATCTTAGTATTGGTGGCTACTTTTAAGGGTATGATTCTTACCCACACTACTGTACCTTACTTATGCTCTGACATCGCGTGTGAAATGAGTTCGCTCCTACTCGTAGCGCACTCTGGTATTTAGACACTTTTAGATTCAAATTTATTCACTTTTTATACACTATCACATTTTATGGCTTCGTCACCTTCCAGGTGTCGGCCAGCACAGCTCGATTCAGGGTCCAAGTGGACTTTCTAGGTCGGGGTGTGTCATTACCTTTCTCTCTAACTCCAACTTAATTGTATTATACACTTCTTTTTTTATTCTTTCTATTAAATTTAACGTGTCTTACAATTTTGTGAAGATTACTTTAATTGCTCATGTTATGAGTGCGAAATTTTTCTCAAAACATATATGAAATTAAGGCCTTATCTCACAAAGAATTCTGGCTCTGCCACTGAACCTTTTCACAGTAAAAAAATGTTTTGTGGACTTTATTAAATTAGAAAACATTTTTTAATGATCGAATTTGCTATTATGATTATTCAGATAGTTTTTTCTTTTTTTTTTATTAGTCTAAATTTTCAGTTGAACAAAATATTACAATTATAATCAGATAAGTCGTTCCTCATTGATTTGAAATTTTCGGGTATGAAGGCGGAGATGGGGAAAAAATACTTATCGGAGTGTAATGACATGCCATCACCGATTCGACCCACTATCTTCCCTACATGCCCATTGATTTTTACAAAAAAAAAAATGAAAATTAGTTGTGGGACCTACTCCACATAGAACTTTAACAATTTGAACCATCTATTTTGAAAGCCTCGATTTATCGATCATCCTTACAAAAATTCAATTCAATCTAAAATCATTTGACTGTTTAATTATCACGATAAAATTTCATGTTATAGAAACATCATTAACATTAAATGAGAAGTAGTAATGTTTCAAAGAAAACATTGTTTTGTATTATCATCATATATATTGGCTAAATTATATTTCCGATGGATTCCAGATGCTGCAATTAATCAACAAAAAAAACTGTATGCAATTTTGACTATTTTGATCACCTATATATTATATTTGATTGTAAAATGAACAGAGCTTACGCGCAAGCGGAAAACATACGTCAAAAAACCAGATCGTGGTTGCCACTTTCCACTAGACCAACTTCTTATCTTTCTTCTCTTAGTTGTAGAGAAGTCTTCATTTAATTTATGTAAAATAATACAATTGTTCAAAGAAACAACAAAATAAAATAGGGTAAATCTTAGTTTATTATCCTCAAGTTTCGTGATTTTCAACATTTTGTACATGAAGTTTTGTTCATCTCAGAATCATACGTAAAGTGTTAATTTTGAAAAAGTCTCATACATCCGTTAGTTTGTCTGTTAAGTTTCTCGTTAACTGATGATGTGGCGCTCATGTGGACAATGACTGGGCGCCACGTGCAAGGCCGTCTCTGAGATTTCAAGGGCCCTATTTGGAATTTATAAAAAAGTCCCTCCTTAAGATAGTTAAAAAAAAAAAACAAAACAAAAAACAAAAAAACAAAAGTAAACCAATGTATTGATGTTAGAAAACAATCACTTAAATCAAAACAAACTTTAACACTCACTGATTGCAAGTTTACTAATGTCATTAATTATTCTTAAAAAAGTTGCTAACACAACATTCACTAAATAATCAAAAGTAGTTCAATCTTAAACAACCAAACATGAAGAAAAAAACTTCAAAACTCTAACTTTAAAATTTCTCTTGAATATATGACATTATTATATAAAAAAAATTGAAAACCCACCGTTTTTTGGGGTGTTATTATTGACAATGAGAATATCTCATTGTACTCTAAATTTTTATATTGAGTAATGCTAGGGAGACTAAATTTGTAGATAAAATTTTGTAAATTAGACATATGAGTTTATATACGTACTTATTTCCTACTGGTGACACATCATTTAGTTTACAAATTTAGTTTTTTTTAGCATTACCCTTTTATATTTAAAAAGAAAAAAAATTACGCTTATAAGGAATACAATGAGATTTTAAAATGCTAACAAAAGCCATTTTCTAAATATAGAACATTATTACATAATATTAGATAGCAAAATTTTGGGGGCCCCTTCAAATTTGGGGTCATGTGCGATTGCACCTTTCGTTTTCCTCCAACGCCCCCTCTGACCACGTGTCATTAAGGAGCTCACGTAGAAATTAAAAATTAAAAAAAAAATTCCCATCCAAATTTAAAATATTAAAATAATTAATTAAATTAAAAAATTAAAAAAAAAAACAAAAATACAAAACTTAGAACCCCCTTCATCTTCCTCACCCGAGTCCCTCCATGGCTCCATCCCCTCCAATGCAGATTCCAATGACAAAACACGACCCAAATCAACCAAAGAATCAAAGCACACCTCTTTTTGACATGATCGGTAAACAATCTCACTCATCCTAGACCCCTCCTCACACAAACCAACGCCATTTCTCCCACCAGACCGCCTCGGCTTCCTCGAAATTAGAATCTGAACTCACACGAAATGGAGAAATTTTTAGTTATAACAGAAACACAAGTAGTACACACATGTTTTAATAGGAGTGGTAGGAAATTTTATTTTTTAAGTTATTAACTTTTTAGCATACATATCTCACCATTTGTATAATGACACGCCAAAATTTCATGTGATATATTCTAACACACAAATTAAACCCTATAATTGTAGTATGGGTAAGTAGGGATCGTTCTAGGCCGGGGATTAGGAGGGATTGCTAATCTACTTAAAACTGACTCAAAAACACAAAACTAGGCTTGAAAACATAGCTTTTGGGAGTGTTGGAGCATTTATGGGGTGTCTTCTATCCTTGTTTTAGTTTTACAATTATGTTGATTTCATTGTTAATTTCTACAATTATGTGGAACTAATTTCTTTTTAGTTAGAGGTGATTGATTTTCTACAATATTGTTTCGTAAAACATGAATGCGATTTACTTATCTGTTTGATTGATACTTATTCTTGTTTGTTGATTAAGGATGCTTACTTAGTTTGCATGCATGAATTTGATGCTAAAATATAAGGGAATTTCACCTAATCGTTATGAACTTATATTTACAAGTAGTGGAAGTCACTAGTCATGATTGTGTTAAATAAATCCATGGCAGGAGTATCATGCAGTTCATAGTTACGAATCCCTTGTCAATGCTTATGATTTTCACAAAGCTTAATGATCTTTGATTGTATCTCTATTATGTTGTTCATGTAGGAAACTATTGAAGAATAATTTGGTTGCCAATACCTTATCCATCCAATTCAATGAGATTAGGAAAATCCGAAAGTTAATTTGTACTTCTCACGATTAATTTGGGGCATTGTCATTCATGGTTTAAAGGAATAATAACTAGAAATCGATTTATATGAATATGTGTCATGTGTGGAGAATGACCCTCTAACTAGCATTTCACTCTTAAAACACCCAATTTCGTGTCTAACCTGTTTAGTTTATGCAATCTGTTTAGTTTAATTAATTTCGTCCAAATCAATCCCCCCTTTAATTAAGTGTGTTAGATTAGTTAGAAACGTGTTCAAATCTGTCCAATTTAGTGTTTTGAGTCTGTTTGCTAGTATTATGCTGTTTAGAGTCTGTGTAGTGTGTTTTGAGTTGTTAGTGTCTAGTTGAGTGTTTCTAAGTCTAGTTTTGTGTTTTTGAGTCACATTTGTGTAGATTGGCATCCCTAGTTAATCCCCGGCCTAGAACGATCTCTACTTTCATATACTACAACTATCTTAATAAGGTTTAATTTGTGTGTTAGTTTCTATCACATCAAATTTTTCAAATTTTGGTGCCGTCGCCGAGGAACGAACCCGAGTCACCCGCGTGACAGGCGGGAATACTTACCACTATACTACAACGACAATTCACACCATCCATCTATCACTACAATTCACACCACACATCCATCACACACAGAAGAGAGCAATTGAGAGATTTTTAGAGAGTTTCAAAGGTGTGCCACAGCAAGGAGAAGGAAGGAAGGGAGAAGTCTTTGTGCCGTGCATATGCCCAAGCTTTTGGGAGTGCTGAAGCATCTCTAGGCTGTCTTCTATCCTTGTTTTAGTTTTACAATTATGTTGATTTCGTTGTTAATTTCTGCAATTATGTGGAACTAATTTCTTTTTAGTTAAAGGTGAATTCAAAGTCATGAACATGTATGTGATATGAATTGATTTCCTCCAGTTATTGTTTCGTAAAATATGAATGCGGTTTACTTATTTGTTTGATTGATAACTTATTATTGTACGTTGATTAAGGAGGCCTACTTAGTTTGCATGCATGAATAAGTTATCAATCAAACAAATAAGTAAATCGCATTCATGTTTTACGAAACAATAATTAAAGGAAATCAATTTATCCATCACACACAAACTAAAACTAACTAAAATTACTCCGTGTACCGATCACGTTGAAAAATCCCTCCACGAAATGAATCACCCTCCCGTCCTCCTTCCCAAAAACAATACACATATGAAACAGCATCCAAAACGGCATCCCGTCTTTCCGATAATTCAGCAAATTAACATGGACAGCTCGCTCCTCCCTGATGGCCTCCCGGACCACCATGACCGACTGCCTGCAAGTCCCCGGACCCTGAAACACTCTGCCGTTCCTCCCGACCACCTCGTTCTTCGAATATCCCGACATTTTCAAGAACCCTTTGCTCGCGAACACGATTGGGTGCCCGGAAATCCAAGGGTCAGTGATCATGAAGCTGTCGGCCAATTCCCCCAGAGCTTCCTGGACCCAGAGCGAGTAGCGGCTGATGAACGACTGCTCAATTAAACCCAGCTCCGATTCCATCGTCCCTATTCTCCAATCACTTCCACTAAACCTTCGCTGCTCTGTGTTCGATCGGGTCCCAATCCCATGTGGGCACCCGTAAAGTTAAAAAATTGGAGAAAACCCAGTTGAGAAAACGAGCAGAGAACGCAGAAATTCAAACAATTTTATCAATTGGCGTCGCCCATTGATTACTGACTGAGTTTTGTGATACATGAAATGTAAAGATAGCAGCTTTGATGAACATTTCTTGTGAGAAAGTGAGCTTGTAGTGAAAGGGAACCCATCAGGATTTTCAAATTCGAAAATATCTAGTGCAGGTTGTTGTGTTTTCGAATGAACAATAATCGCTGAGAAATACCCATCAATCGTTTTTTGTTTAATTAGTGCGAAAAATAAATAAATCTGAATTTCCCTTTTTTTCTGTAGCAATATTTGACACAACAGTGTGTACAAACCCACGAAACAGAGAGGCTGTAGCAAACTGTGCAGAGTCACAACAGTGTGTACAGGATTTTCAAATTGGAATTGAGATTGGGCTCTCGAGGGATTGGATTGTTGTGGTCTGGATTCTTGGGGAGAAGGACCTTTTGGGGTTTTGGGACACCCTTGCTTCTGGCGGGTCGGGGGTGAGAGTTTCAGTTCGACATGTTCTCCCTCGCACTGAGTCCGATCGGATTTCGATTGAGGGCAAGAAGAAAGGAGGGGATGGAGGGGTGGAGCCGTGGAGGGGGGGAGGGGATGGAGGGATGTCGGGTGGGGAAGACGTTCTGGGTTTCTTTTGTTTTTTAAATATTTTTATTTAATTAATTATTTTAATATTTTAAATTTGGACGGGAAATTTTTTTTTTGAATTTTTAATTTTCATACGGATGATTTAATGACACGTTGTGCTTAGTCATTGTTCACATAGTGCCACATCATTAGTTAACGGGAACTTAAGAGCCAGATTAATGTATATATGAGACTGTCTCAAAATTAACACTTTAAGTATGATTCTGGGACGAAAAAAACTTTATCTAAATGTTAAAAATCATAAAACTTTAAGTAGTAAACTGAAATTTACCCAACAAAATAAAAGCATGTAATTAGGCCACCATATATAGACTCGATCAAAGGTGTTTTACGTGTGTGAATTTTTAGGGTTTTATACAGTTTTTTTTTTTTTTTTTTTTTTTTTTTTTTCTGATACGATTTCAATATATCACCAAATCATCAACCACGGAAAGTTAATATATATAAATGAGAAGGCGACAAAAAGGAAATAGATAGAGCGATTACTTTTGCTTTTAATAGCTGTAGTTTCCTCCAACAAAGACAGACGAAAACGTTGATTCCATAGAAGAACTTTTAAGCCTAATTAATAATTTAATTAGATGAGTCAACCAAGTTAAAATAAATTTTGAACGTCCTTGCATCTTCAAAGGTGGTGGCTGTGATGGTTTGGTGTTACGGGAGGATGATTTTTTACCCTTTTAATTTTTCTATCCTTCCATGTTTTTCTATTTGAATAGTCATAAACCATATCAACATCTTATATTGATTTTTTTTATAAAGATAATAAGGTAAAAAACAATGTATGGAAGAAGAGAATGGAAGGGAATGAGAATATAAAGGTAGAGAATCCTCCTCCGGTGTTACGGGTTAATTCAAGGTTTCTGTGATGTGAAATATATGGATGTTGTCTGTTTCAGTCATGCGGCTTTGTTTTGCTTTAATGTTTTCATTTTTGAAATTATTATTTTTTACATTAGTCACTTCGATGTATAATTAAGGTATATAATAAACATCGTTTTTATATATAACTCACTTTTGCAATTGTACAGGTATCTGTGGTAGATTCATGATTCAAATTTTGGAGAGTCTTAATGTTAGATAGAAACGAAGCGCTAAGAGCATAAAAAAAATTTCGGTTTATTCAGTAAGGCATTTCGTCGAACATTTGATGGATTTGTTATTATTAATCAAATCATGTTACACATATATCAACAAATATCGACATATGTTGAAGTAATTTAATTAATGATATCGAGAAAACTTGTGTTGTTGCACAATCTGTTGAAATATATTTAGTAGGTATTACATAAAATACTTAATATGTATAAAAAAAAATCCATATTAAACATTTGGAGGTTCCTCACATTTATATTCTAAAATTTTGGATAGTCTTGTAAACACGAATAATTTCTGAAACAAGAGACAAGAATACGTGTACAAAATATATTTTTTGTATTAATGATTTTGGGGTTACAATCTCTTTGTAATTTGATCCTCTGATTCTATCTTCGTAGGATGTGAGTTTGTGGATGAGTTGTTGATCCAAAGGGCCGTCGGGGCTTGATCTAAGGATGCACAGTTGATGAATGGATCTTCAAGGGGCGTTGGGCTTGATCTTGAAGGTTGATGGATGAACGGATCTTCAAGGGCTTTTGGGCTTAATCTTGAAGGATGAACGGATGTGTGGATTTGTTGAGGTTGTTGATCCAAAGGGGCCGTTGGGGCTTGATCTTGAAGGTTGATGGATGAACGGATCTTCAAGGGCTTCTGGGCTTAATCTTGAAGGATGAACGGATGTGTGGATTTGTTGAGGTTGTTGATCCAAAGGGGCCGTTGGGGCTTGATCTTGAAGGTTGATGGATGAACGGATCTTCAAGGGCTTCTGGGCTATATCTTGAAGGATGAACGGATGTGTGGATTTGTTGAGGTTGTTGATCCAAAGGGGCCGTTGGGGCTTGATCTTGAAGGTTGATGGATGAGCGGATCTTCAAGGGCTTCTGGGCTTAATCTTGAAGGATGAACGGATGTGTGGATTTGTTGAGGTTGTTGATCCAAAGGGGCCGTTGGGGCTTGATCTTAGGATGAACGGATGATGAGCGATGAACACTTTCTTCAAGGGCCGTCGGGGCTTAATCTTGAGTTGGTGGGAGTTCTTCAAGGGCCGTTGGGGCTTGATCTTGAATTGGTTTTGACGAAGAACGAAGAGTGATTTCTTGATCCTTCGGGATTTGCTTGAGAGCTTTAGAGTTTCAAGGCTTCTTTCTTTCTTCCTTCCTTCTTTTCTTCTTTTCCTTCTTCCTTTCCTTCTTTTCTTCTTTTCCTTCTTCCTTTCTTTCTTGCTTTTTTCTTTCAAATGAATGCCTTGGCTTCCTATTTATAGAATTCCAAAACTTGATTTTTGGATTTAAATAATCAGATGAAATAAATCATTTCTGCCAGGTATTGACACGTGTCCTATTTGATAACTTTTCCAATTTATTTCGATTTTTCGTTGAGTCACACGCTACATGTAAAATTTATGTGATACGTGAGAGTTGAAATTTTAATTATTGGTCAACATTCATTTTACCGAAATTTTGATGTCTACAAATGCCCCCACTTCAAGGCGCGTCGTAGACATGTGCTTGTCACGTGTTGAAGATGCGTTTTGAAGTCCCTTAATGTAGATGTCAACCCAAGGGCCGTCGAGGCTTGATCTTGAATTGGGCTGGAAATTTCTTCAAGGGCCATCGAGGCTTGATCTTGAGTTCGACTGGAAGATTTTCTGGTTTCTTCCAATCGTTGATTTTCCACAGGCTTAATCTTGAACTGGACTGGAGGATTCTTTTGGTCTCCTCCGAAGGTCTGAACTTACTCCTTTGATCTGGAGTTGAATTTGATTCAAGGGTGGTGAACACTTGATTTTGAATCGGACTTTGTGATTTCTTCAAGGGCCATCGAGGCTTGATCTTGAACTGGGCTGGAGGATTCTTTTGGTCTCCCCCTATCGTTGATTTTCCTTTGTGCTACTCTTGAACTGGGTAGCAGGATTCATACACATGGCAGGCAAGCACGAGGTGGAAGTGATGACCTGTTTCTTTGTTCAATCTTTCCCCAATTCGTATTGAAGAGGGTAGATCGGAAAACTGACTCCAAGTGCCGTCTGATTGCTCTTTTCACTTTGCCATGCGAGTAATAACAAGGACAAAGGAAAGGACATGGAGAAAGCATGATATAAGATACCTTTGCTTTTGAAGAAGCAGCGAATGAATCAGCACATATATTTGTTGTGCTTGTCTCCACATGCTTTGATGTATCATTTTCACTTGTCTTACTTGCTCCCTTTACAGAAGTGGTATTTCCTTATGCAGGTTTGGCATCTTCTCGTGTAGTATTTGTCCTCTGATGCAGGAATGGAATGCAACCTTTGCATTTAAATGGTGCTTCAAAACATTACTTCTCCGCGACAATGAGTACTCGAGAGCAATGCAAGGTAAGCAACCAGGCAAAGGTTCCAGGCAATCAGTTCCAGGTCGGAAGTTTGATTTCAGGTTCCGACTGATAACTCTATTTCCCCTTCTCCTGCATGTAAGAGCAAGGACAAAGAAAAGGACAGGGAAAAAGCATGATATGAGATACCTTTGCTTTCGCCCTTGATGATATGAGATACTTTTGCTTTTGAAGAAGCGGTGAATGAATCAGCACATGCTTCCATCTACCGTTTCCTCATGGGTCATCTGTACTCCAGGCATCTAGTATCATCTTTGGGGAAGAGGAAAAAATTGAGTATTTTGAGATGTTTTGCTGGGAGTGTACTCTCGGAGGTGAGGAAGAGTTGGGCATTTTTTTTTTTCGCAGGTCTGCCTTGCCATAAAAGATGAAGGTCGACATATATAGGGATTTCCCAATAGCAAGTGGTGGTACTGTTCTTTTACCCTTGTCGACAAACGTTTTGATCCCGCAAATCCGGCTTTTTGAAATAGTGACGACTCTTCGATCTTTGAATACGCCTCTTTGATTTCTGAACGACGCCTCTTCGATTTCTGAACGAGTGCCTCTTTTGACAAAGCTGCACGCGTTTTCTGAAAAGCAGAGAAAGCGTCGCCGAACTTTGCGCTTGTCAGCTAAAGATGTGTAGCTGCGATGATGACCTCCACGTGATCTTTTGACAAAGTGGCACCCGTGCTCTGAAAAGCCGCGAAAGCGTCACCAGCCTCCACGTGTTTTCAACTTTGTCGGAGATCTTTTGACAAAGTTGAACGCGTTTTCTGGAAAGCCGAGAAAGCGTCGCCTAACTTACGCCGGAAAATCCAGCTTTTGAGATTTGCAGAGCGATGTCTCTTCACTTTTGAATAAGCGGCCATTCGATTTCTGAACCAACGCCTCTTTGATTTCTGAGCAAGCGCCTCTTCCTTTTTATAGAGGTATTGATCACCTGTAACATGCATACTTTGAAAGTTGCTCATTCCTGAAAATCATCTCCGGCCTTTTGAGTTTTAACTCCATCCACCCATCTCTTTTAACACTTTTGAAAAAATGGCTAACCCATCGAACCTTAGCTTAGAATTGAGTCTCAGCAGTGATCCGGTTGCGCCGCTTCAAGGTAATGTATGGTGCCCTTCTTTCTTATCTTCTAACGGTCCTCTTACAGGTGAAGACTCCGTGATGCAGGACGCCACAACAGCTACAATAGTAGCTAGGAACCTCCTTACTCCAAAAGATAGTAGGCTGTTGTCGGGACGGTCCGATGAGTTGGCCGTTCAAGAGTCCCTCGCTCTTAGTGTTCAGTGTGCGGGCTCTGTGTCCAACATGGGCCAACGCCTGCTTGCTCGGTCCCGTCAGGTGGAATCATTGATGGCAGAGGTGGAAGATCTTAAGCAGGAGATTAAACAGCTTAAGTACGAGAATAGAAGTTTGCATGTGCTTGCAAATAACTATTCGTCAGGCATGAAGAGGAAGCTTGATGAGATGCAAGAATCTCAAGGTCGCATTCAAAGTGACCGTCAAAGGCTTGCGTCTTTCTTCCAGAGACACCTTTTTCCTGCGTCATCAAGCGTTCCACCAAGTATTGGGGCCTCGAATGATCTATCTTCGGTGCTTCCTGCTCCTGGAGTTTGGCCGAGTAGTGGGGCTTCACGTGAACAACCTTTGTGAAGGCTCCATTTTTCTCTTTCTTTGTTAGACACTTTTTTTTTTTTTTTTTTTTTTTATTTTTTTCGCACTTGTAATTTTTCGAAAATCAATGAACATACTTCGTTTTATTTAGTGTATTGTGCTAAATACAGAGAAAACATGTACATCACCAAGAATTTTTTTTTTTTTTTTTCATGGTGGCACAGATCCACCAAAGTTTTTTTTTTTTTTTTTTTTTTTTTTTCCGGTGGCACAGATCCACCAAAGTTTTTTTTTTTTTTTTTTTTTTTTTTAACTTTCATCATTACTTCCCAACATCATCATCTCATTTTACTTTATTTTATTATTTTTTATTATTTTATTTTATATATATATATTTTTTTATTATTCTTTTTTTCTTCTTTCGGTGGATTGATCCACCAGAGTTGTTTTTTATTTTTTTATTTTTTTTTTACTTTTTATTTTTTTATTCTTTACTTTCATCATTACTTCCCAACATCATCATTTCATTTTACTTTATTTTATTATTTCTTATTCTACATTGTCGTTTTTTTTTTCTATATAAAGGACCTGCAAGATTGAGGCTCTGGGTGAAAACCCAGGCTGAGTCCGAGATAGAGAAGGCGGAGGATCTTTGGGTG